TGATCTGGCTTCATTCCCTACCTGTGCTTTCTTCAGCAGATGTTACAAGTTTGGAGCATATTCAACTTCTTGGAGTCTCTGTTGAAGCTTCAGTTTAACTCCTACAGCTCTGAGTGTGGTCCCTTCATGGGTTCTTGGCATGGACTGCAATATTATCACACATTTTTGACTGCCCTCCTAAGCCCTCTGAAATTTAGGTGGAAGCATCCATGAATCCATAGATCTTGCATTATCCAGGGCCTAAAAACCAGTACTACATGGCAAGGTGGAAATCTAGTTTGACAGTAGCCAGTTCCTCTTGGACTGTGGCTGCAGCAGCCTCTACGTGTCATCATGGCTGAACTAGAGCATATACTCTGCTAAGCAACACTAAATGACCAGGTGTCCCAGAATCTCTCTTTTGAAATGCAAGATTCACAGTTCTGTAACATTGAGACTATGAGAGGTGAGGTCTTGCTGATTTCTGAGTTTTTCTCAAGGCATCATCCTATCTTGTACAAAGTAGTTGGCTTCTTTTTAATGTTAATCTGTTCAGCAACTCAGTTCTCTTCTGTGCCAAATTCTGCAGATTTTTCCTTTATGGCAAAATTCAAGTATTTTAAATCATTCATTTTAATTTTTGTTCTTGTTTCTCACTGTACAACTAGCAAGAAACAGCCAGCAATAACCCATTCCATAGCCTACATGTTAGGCTGATTTAAAATTTCCACCACCAGATTATTAGTCCATTACTTTTCATCTTGGTCTTCTGTTAAATCTCAGGACATAAACAAAATGTAGATAAATTTTCTGTTGGAGTATAACACATAACACATATTGTCTAGTCCAACATCCAGTAGAGTCCTTTTACCAAATGAAACCTCCTGATCTGGGTCTTTACTGTGGGCATTCTTATCAGCATTTTGGTTTTCTGAACTCCAAAATTTTGAGCTACATTAGAGAGCTGCTTTAACCAGCATTTCAGACTTTTCAAAATTTCACTCTTAAATCATTTGCAAAGGCTTGTAAATCACATGCCAGCTATAGACAGAAATGATTCCACTTCTCTGGTACCGAAATCTGTATTAGTTACTTTCTTGTTGCTGGGCAAAAAATACTCAACACCTGCAACATAAAGGAAGAGAGGTTTATTTTGGTTCATGTTTTCAGTATATGATCAGCCAACTCTGAGGCAGAAACAGCATGGCAGAGGGGGCATAATGGAAGAAAGCTATTCGTGATACAGCTGTTCATGACACAGCAGCCAGGAAGTAGCGAGAGGAGATAGGAGCCAAGTACAAGAATACTCACTTCCAGGTCACATACACAGTGACTTATCCCTTCCAACTGGGCCCAGCATGGAAAGTGAAAATTTTGTAAGAATTTTAAATCTGAATCACGATGAGGAGTGAATAATTTATCAAAAATCAGCTCATATATTTCCCATATCAATCGATTGCATTCATTTTAAGAGGTCTTTTATAGAACTTTAACTTGCAAATAAAACAGAAATTCATTGAAATCATTAGGAAATGCATCTCCTCTCTCCACATTGACTCTCAACCAGCATTTGTCCATTTCTACCCCACAGATTCTTTTCTACATTTGTGCAAATGACAGTCACCTCTACAATTCCTGCATCCCTGCAGTAATTCCCTTCCATCTTGGCTATGCTGTCAGAATCTCAATAGGCACTAGTGTGCAGTAATGTTTACCAGCTGCAGGAGCATGGATACAGAGTGTGGTCCATTTTCCTGACAAAGAGGCATTGTGAAATTTCCCATGTTTCCATAGTGACAAGTATGCACTGTATTTACAGGTCTTCTTTGCCAGAGCTACACATCATCTCTTGTACAGCATTGTTATCAGCTCAGCACAGCCAGGCTCTACCTCCTGCCTACTGACTTATCACATTTTCATTACCGCTCAAATGTCAGCACACAAGTTTCTACTTTCCAGTGGATTAAGAAACTATTTATTCTGATGAGACTTCAATTCTCAGTCTCATAAGGATGAAAAGAATGTCCTTTCATGGGCAGGCCTGAAAGAACAGAATAGCCAAAGATTCAATTTAATTGCTACTTTCTAGCAATTGTGCTACACCCTAGTTTCAGGTGTGCTGTTAAAGGTACACTTTCGGGATAAGAAAGATAGCTTTGTCTTAGCTGTTCCCAGCCTCCTCTTCCACCAACACTGAAGGCCTTTGGAGAATGGAATAAATCCAGAGCATCAGTTTTTGACATAGTGACATTCTAGCATTCCATTAGTTACATGGCTACTGGTAGGAGAGACTATAAGCCATATAAAGACCAGACAGGGAAAGCACGCAATACAAACGTACTCACATACTTTATTTTAAAATGTATTGCAGAATTGAGGTTTACAAAATGTATAGTTGAAAACCAATGTGTATGTATATATATATATATATATATATATATATATATATATATATATAGCTAAAGAACATGCCTCATAATAATATACTTTAGCATCTCCCATGGTACTGGTGAGTTTCACTTTCATACATTTATAGATCCATGTAATATACCTTGATCATTTCTATCCTCCTCTTGTCTCTCCTTCCTGGATTCCTTTCTTCTTCTCTCATAGTCTTCTTCTTTCATGCCATCTCTCTTTTTCTAAAAGACAAAATATCATCTGATTCCTTGTAGTTCCATATCTTTCTTTACGTAACTCTCAAATATTTTTCTTAGCTTATGAGTTTTATCCATATTTAAGACACAATTGCTCAGGTCTTTATAATGTTATTGAAATTTATGTGCTATACCTGGTCTCAACCAAATAAGCCCTACCTTGTGAGAACCACAGACTGTAGGAACTTTGATGGAAATTACCATCTGTAAGTTTTCTCTTCTTCATACTCAAAGCACCTAGAGTAAGGAGGGTTGAGTCCACTGTAGGGACCTAATAAGTATCACTCAATTGCCTGATTTATGATGAATACAAAGGAATAAAATCTTCAAGAGAATCTGTTCCCTGTGGAAGCGGTTTTACTTTTTTTTTTCATTAAATGCAACCTTAAACCTACTCATGCGAAGTAAGCATGTTATCCCTTGGAGATTGTTTTTTATTGCCCTATGGAAAAGCAAGTCTGTTATGATTAAAGAATAAAATGTGCATGTACTTCTGGTACTAGATGTTGGAATAAATGCCATAAAATTTCTCAGTAAGATAACAGATGGTTTATGTTTACATTTGTCTCAGTTACTTTTCTCACTGCGGAGACAAAGTATCCAACACCAAAGGTTAAAGGAGGAAAGACTTATTTAGCTCAGCTTGTAGAGCTTGTAGTTTGTAGAGGTCTCAGCATATAACTGTCTGGCTCTAAGTCAGGGTGGCATAGAAGAGGGAAAACTGCTCACAGCAGCAGAAAATACTAAAAACAAGAGAGAAGAGAGAAAAGACAAGTCTCTTTCTGTTACTTATATTGTATGCATGTTACTTGCCCTAAGACAAGTGTAGCACTCAAACCCCTCATCTCTGCTCTGGACCATGAATCAATCATAAACTCTAGATTCAGTCAACTCTGAAAAACCATTTCCCATGTCTGCATGCGGATCTGTAGGAGGGACATTCACATACAAATCATAACATCTTTTAATCAGTAAAGAAGACTAAAATCTTTAGAAGAAACATTAGATTCCATATTCCTTGATTCTTAAACAACATGGTCAGGAATCTGGCTTTTTAAAAAACCAGTCAAAGGCCACAAAAGGATAAAACACTGAAGGATGACAAGACAACTAAAGACAGTATGACTTACTTTGAGAGCCAATAGTTGAAAGAATTCTGCCAGGGAAGTCGAACCCAGAGGATAAAATTGTGGAGAGAAGGATCAAAACTTCTGCCAGATTTAAAAATATGAGACACTATTATGGGATAAGTTGAGTTTTTACACCACTGAACTAAAGATGAAATTTTAGGTTTAAAGAAATATTTTAAGAAATGGTCAGCATAAACTACCTTGAGATTAGGAGGTTTCAGGAAAAGGAGCTCAAATCCCATAATCTGCCATGTGCCCAGTATAGGACAATTGTGGAAGGCAACCTTCTAAAATTTTCTAAACTCTCCAATAATCTGATCTTCCAATTTTCACATCCTTGTGCGATATCCTCCTTTTGAGTCATCTACTCTACCAATGTGTGCTTGTAATGAAAAAGCAAAATCAAAGAGATGTCACTTCTGAGATTCAGTTATGAAAAACTGTGACTTTCATTGTTTTTTGCACACCATTTCTACAACTTGATTTCATGTATTCACGTTGATGAAACCAGGTTCCATGTTGTGAACTGTTCCACGAAAAATTCCATGTGAAGGGAACAGAGGATATCCTCTGTTCAGTAGCCAGTGAGGAACTGAGATCTTTATTCCAAAGGGCCCTAAGGACTTGAATCCTGCCCACAACATGGAGCAAGCTTGACAATGCATCCTACCCCATCTCAGTAGAACCTAGAGTGGCTATGGTTCTACCCATCATCTTGTGTGCAGACTTGTTTCAACTTCTCATAAAGAGACTAATAGCCAGAAAATGAAGTTATGCTATATCTAGTTCCCTGATGCATGAAAGTAGAATGGTAAATGTGTGTCACAAGCAACTAACTCTTGGGATAACATTTAATGCATGAATCACAATTGTTAAAATAGGGTAAGTAGTCTCGGTCAATATAGCAAATGTAAAGGTTAAATGTGCTGTGTGACATTTAAGACTGCCTACAAGGAAATATTTAATTACAGTGCTGATCATTATAAGGCAGAAAGAAAGGGAACTATTTTAGAAAAAATAATTTAGAAAAGTCCCTTGTCCTGTTGTCACCAATGATATCTAAAAGAAAAAGTATCAAGGACATAGAGAACAAATTTTAAACTAATTTTCTGAGAGGTCAGAAGCACAAAAGAACAGGCTGCCTGGGTAAATCTCATGATTTACTCATCCCAAGTATCTATTATTACCATACTCCTGAAGGGATATAAACCTCTTTTTTTACTTCCTTTTCAAGTTTTCAACAAGATCTTGCATGGAAACGGAGAAATTGAAGATACCTGTTGCATTCATAGCTTGCAAGATATGTTGTGAAAATTACAAAGGAATTCAATCAGGAGATGAATGTGGAATACGAACTTGAGCCAGCTGCTGAGAGGAATTCAGAGTGCCTACAAACAAATGGTGAACCTTGTTTTCTGAGACAAGAATTGTGGATGACACTGGGACAGGATGAAGGTAATCACTGAGACATGAGGCATACCTTTGCATTATTTCTGGAGTAGCTATCTTTCAGCCCTGAGTTTCTGATCTGTCAAAATGGGGAAGGGTGTGGGTGGGTGATATTTTTCAAACTTGAGTTCTAAAAGATGTTATTTCCTTGTTTTCATTCTTCATGTAGAGTCCTTCTAGAAAAATGATATCACAGTCTTCTGTGCACATTGCTGGAAATCCTGTACAACACCAGTTCTATGCTGGTCCTGTTTCTCACTGTGGAAGCCTTGCTTCACTGTCATTTATTTCCCTTCCACAATGCTAGAGAATCAAATATATTTTAGTTTTTGAACCTTATAATGATCCAATATATGGATATTGTTATTCCTGTTTATGGATGAAGAAACTAATACCTAAGAAAACTAATCAAGTGGCGTAATGGTACACACCTTTTTAGTTGCACAGCTGCTAGAAAAGTTAGGTATTTGGACTTCTAATGCAATATCCTTTTAAAACTTATTCCATGAACCTTCAGAAATATTTTAAGAAGAAATTCATAGAAATTTCAATGCTTAGTACTATATAATTAAATTGATCCTTTCAAAAATGAAAGATTTTTTCCATTCATTTAGGTAATGACAGAAGCCATTTCATATATACAGTATCAATATGCCCTAAATAAAAGATATCTTTTGCCCTGGGTGACTTCCAGAGGTCCTTTCACTAATCTGTCTGTTTTTGAAAGCATTTTCCAAATGGTGATTTTCAGGATACCAAAAAGGTGTTCTTCCTTGGAAAGGTGCCATGCTTGTATTATTGGGACATAAGGAGATTAACAAAGACAAGTGGATTTCATATTTATAAGACTTCTCTGAGTGCTTAATAAGATTATATGTAAAACAAAACTTATATGACCACATTTAAAATGTGAAGCTTTACCAGATTTGTTTTACAGTGAAATCCACTTCTCTCAGTGTGTCTTGTAGTACTAGTGGACATCAGAATATAGTTTGGGACATATTGGTCTACAAACTATAGGTAATGTGTTTTACAAGCTTCATACATTAATACTAATTTTCATTTCTGGAACAAACATAGAAAATGTTTGTACCGGCCTCAGGGGATTTGGGGGCTGCCTGTGCCCTCAATTCTAGAGACTGGGCAGCCTGGGATGAGTGTTCCCATATCATCTCAAGGCCCAGGAGTTTAAGATCATTGCTCCTGGCTGGCCAGGAAACTTCAGGGCTTCCTGCCACACTCGACCAGCTCAGCAGGGCTTGGGCCTGCCTGCACCAACTTCCCAGCTTCCTGCCATGCTCGGCCTGCTCAGGGGATCTAGGGCCTGCATTGCCCTCAATTTTGGATGCTGGGTGGCCTGGGGTGAGTGTCCCCACACTATCCCAAGCCCCGGGAGTCTAAGATCATTGCTTCCACTGAATAGGGAGTTTCACTGCTTGCTGCTGCCCAGAACCAGCTCAGCATATCTTGGTCCAGCCTGCACCAACTTCGCAGCTTCCGGCCATGCTTAGCAAACCTGGGGATCTTGGGCCTGCTTGTGCCGGCACAAGGGTTCAGATATGAGTGTCCCTGCACCATCTGGAGCCCAGGGAGTTTGGGATCATTGCTCTCACCAGCAAAGGAACTTCACAGCTTCCTGCCACACTCTACCAGCTCCGCAGGGCTTGGGCATGGCTGCTCCAAAGCAGTGAGCTGCTCTGAATCTGGGGGGACTGGATGGCCAGAGTTTCAGGAGTCAAGGAATGGAAGAGGATTTCCAAAAGGCCCACGGGAAGCCATGGAACAACACTTGAAACACGGAAATACAGGAAAATGACAAAAAAAGACCAAAATAAATCTCAAACCTAAAGCCCACCCGAAGAAAACTTAGGAGCTATGTACATAGAAGAAAATATATGACATGCACCTGAAATACCTGAAATAATAGCAACTGAAATAAAGAAGCAAATCTAGGAAGCTTTAAAGGAATTCAAACTAGAAATAATCTCCCAGGTAAAAGAAGAAATGATAAAAGAAATGAAAGAGAGGCTGAACATATCTTAAGAAAACACAGTTAAAAAATTGGAGGAACTAAACAAAAATATAGAATCCTTGGACGAACAATATAAGAAAGAAACAGAATACATGAAGCAGACGCAAAGAGATATACAGAAAAACAAAAATTCCATTAAATTTGTAAAAATTGCTTCAACGAAAGTGAAGATAAATTTCAGATCTCGAAGACAAGATTGCAGCTAGTGAACAGGAAAGGAAAGATCTTTTAAAAATAACAAGGAATCAGGAAATAACAATCCAAAAACTGCAAGATGATGCAAAGAAAAACAGCATAAGATTGATAGGGATAAATCAAAAAGAAAGGGGCAACATAAAGGATGTTAAGAGGATATTTCGAGAACTAATAGCTAAAAATTTCCCAAACATGAAAGTTGAAACTGACATCAGGATCAATGAAGCATACAGAGCTCTAAATAGCCATAACCAAAATAAAACTACACCCAGACATATAATAATCACCATCCTAGAAATACAACATAAGAATAGAATATTAAAAGCTGACAGAGAGAAAAGATGGATCACTTATAAAGGAAAATCTATCAGAATCACAGCAGACTTCTCAGCCCAAACAATAAAGTCAAGAAGATCATGAAGTATTTCAGATCCCAAAGGAAAATGATTTCCAACCTAGACTGATGTACCCTTCAAACTGTCCTTCAAAATCGATGGAGAAATAAGACACTTCCATGACAAAGAACAGCTGAAGAACTTCATGATCACCAAGGCAACTCTGCAAAGAATACGGAAAGACAGTTTAGATACACTTAGCAAAAAACCACTAAGCAAAGCAGACAACTAAATAGAACAGAAAGATAAAGATGCAACAGCAGAAAGATAACATGTTAACAATAAACCAACATATAACAGTTATAACCATTAATGTAAATGGTCTTAATGCACCAATTAAAAGAAACAGACTGGCAGAATGGATCAAGAAACAGCATCCAACCATATGCTGTCTACAAGAAACTGATCTAGCCCAAAAGGAAACTCACAAACTAAAAGTCAAAGGATGGAAAACAATACTTCATGCAACAGGAACCCCCCAAAAGCGAGGGTAGCTATTCTGTTTGCAGATAATGTGAACTTCAAACCAGTAATGATCAGAAGAGATAAAGAAGGTCATTACATACTGGTTAGGAGAAAACTTCAACAGGAAGAGATAACAATCTTAAACATGTATGCACCAAATTCCAGAGCACCCAGCTATATAAAACAAGTATTAACAGAAAAGAAAAACAAAATTAGCAGTAACACAATTATAGCAGGGGACATTAACACACGATTAACACCAAGGGACAGATCAACCAGACAGAAAATCAGTAAAGAAATAGCAGAAGTGAATCACACCTGTGAACAAATGGAATTGATAGACAAATACAGAGTGTTCCACCAACAACATCAGAATGCACATTGTTCTCAGCAGTACGTGGGACATTCTCTAAAATGGACCATATATTAGCCCACAGAACATATTTACATAAATTCAAATTAGTTGAAAATATCCCATGTATCTTAGCACCATTAGTTGAAAATATCCCAGGATCATAGCACCATGAAACTAGAAATTAATGATAAAGAAACTACCAATATCCCACAAATGCATGGAAACAATAATGCACTCTTGCACAATCAGTGGGTCACAGGAGAAATTAAAGAAGAAGTCAAACAATACCTACACACAAACAAAAATACAACTTACCAGAATGTGTGAGATTAAATGAAAGCTGTCCTCAGAGGATAAACTATTGCACTGAATTCCCATATCAGGAAAACAGAACCAATACAAATAAACAACCTGATGCTACACCTCAAACATCAGAGAAAGAAGAGCAAGTCAAGCCCAAAACCAAAACAAGGGAGGAAATTATTAAAATCAGAGCATAAATTAATGCAACAGAGACTAAGAAAACAATCCAATGAACCAAAGAGTTGGTTCTTTGAAAGAATAAATAAAATTGATAAGCTCCTAGTCAACCTTATTTTAAAAAAGGAAGAAAAAGCTCAAATGCATGCAATAAGGAATGAAAAGTTGAGATCACTACAGCCTCTGTAGAAATACAGAAGATCATCAACATTTGTTTTGAGAAACTCTACTCTCATAGGTTTGATAAAACAGAAGAAATAGACAGATTCCTAGTAACATATAAAGTACCAAGGCTAGCTCAAGAAGAAGTAAAACTACTGAATAACCCAATTTCTTCTAATGAAATTGAAAATGTATTTAAGTTTTTATCTACAAAGAAGAGCCCAGGCCCAGACAGATTCACTATGGAATTCTACAAGAAATACAAAGAAGACCTAATGCTGACACTCCTCAAACTCTTCAGTGAAAAGGAAAGGGAAGCAATCCTTCCTAAGTTATTTCTGGAAGCAAATATTATCCTAGTACCAAAACCTGAGAAAGACTCAACTAAAAAAGAGAACTGCAGTCCAATCTCCCTAATGAACACAGATGCAAAAATCCCCAGTAAAATATTGGCAAATAGGATGCAGCAAATCATCAAGAAGATTATACACCATGACCAAGTGGGATTCATCCCAGGCATGCAGGGATGGTTCAACATATATACATCAAAAAATGTAACCCACCATATCAATAAAGCCAAAATTAAGAATCACATGATCATTTGTATAGATGCAGAAAAAGCTTTTGATAAGGTCCAACATACATTCATGGTAAGAACCTTACAGAAAATTGGAATAGATGGTCTTTAACTCCATATGATAAAGGTCGTCTATGACAAACCAACAGCCAATATCATACTAAATGGCCAAAAATTGAAGGCCTTTACCTTAAAATCAGGCACAAGACAAGAAGTCCCTTATCACCACTCCTATTTAATACTGGAAACACTAGTCAGAGCAATTAGACAAGAGAAAGAAATAAAATGGGTAAAGATAGGAAAAGAGGAAGTTAATTATCATTATCTGCAGATGACATGATACTCTACATAGAAGACTCTAAAACTCCATTGAAAGACTCCTAGATATAATAAATGAATTCAACAATGTAGCTGGCTACAAAATCA